ACTTCACAATCCGAAATGATTAAACTGATGTGCTTATAAACATGTGGAATCGGATGGCTCACCTGTATTTTTGGCAAATAAGGTAAACCTGCTTTATTGTACCAAAAAGTTATGAAAGTCGCAGCTTTGATAGCTGTGTCTATAGGATGGAAATGGCATGAAGAGTCTTCTTTTGCCACAGATAATTTCTGACATCGGTATTAAAACAAAGACAAAAACAAAAGGCTGATATTCTTTTTTTAAATAAGTTAATGTTTCTTTTTGGCGTAGTTTTTCCTGGAGAATCTAAATATCACCAACATTTGTTCACAAAACAACACTAATCGTAAAAAGCAATCGGAAAATATGCAACCGCTCGCCGCCGCCGAATCTCATTGGTTGGTCGAGCCGTGATGTCATAAAATGAGCAGGCGCGAATCTAATTGTATCTGTCGCTCAACTATCAACTGGGAATCCTTTCCTCGTTTTGTCTCCGCTTCGCGTTAAGCTCCTCAGATTCGCTGAGGTGCCTACATCTTCCGTATAAAGATGCTCGTAACTGCTGGATTAGCAACCAATTACTGAAGATAAACTTCTTCCACCAGCCATTTGTTCCGGAATATAAAACTGACGGGTGTGAAAAAAGATCTTCCGTAAATGGTTGCTAGTCCAGCAGTGTGTTTGTCCTTTTTTTTCTCTCTCTCTATCTCTCTCTTCGTGTATCTTGGTACCTTCAGCTGGCATCTTTCAGGAGCATGAATCCACCAACTAGCTCAGTATGGACGATGTACGACGCTGGCTCTGCGAGTCGAGGCGCACGAGCGAGGAACCTTTCGTCACGTCATGTTTCCCCCTTCTCATTTTACTGTTCTTGCAATGCAACTTCAAAGGCGTCTTTCTAGGTAATGCAGGCATGAAACATCATACTGTTTTGCGTTATTCGCAATGATGGGAGTCGGATTAAAACAAATCAAGTGTTTTTAATCAAATTCGAAACCGGATCAGCTTTCCTTTTAAAGCATACCATCAGACGAGGAGCCTGGGCGATTAAGTGATGACAAAAATATACAGAAGCAGGTGTTGCCGAACTCTCAAAATTGGAGAACTCAGAAAACTCTGACGAAAATTTGGATGCGCATGATCGAAAACAGCTCAACCTGTTTTAAATCCCTAAATATGCTTTTCCTGTCAGACCACGTAAATATTTAAAATTTATAAATTATTTTATAACAAAAACGTTAATGCATTGACTCTAATTTTAACCTTTTGCAACTAGCTTTCAGTTGCACAACTTTCAGCTGTACAATTACGTACAGTGGTTTCGTAATTGTACAGCCATGTTTAAACATAAAAAAGTTCGCCGATTGACCGCAAAATGTTTAAAACTCATTTTCGGGACTTTTTACCGTCGTGCACGAAGTTTTAAGTTGAAATATTGCTCTGAAGTGCACCCATACGTAAAAAAGACAATTAGATAAATTAAAGCTTTCTTAAAGGCATAGATGGGACACGTCTTGTTTTAAACAATTTTCCACAAAAAAAAATAATAAAGAAATGTTAGCGAAATATTAGGTTCTTAACAAAATTTAGGTGGGGGTCACGGCCCGCTCTAAGCCCCGCCCACAGATCGGTGGCCCCGCCCATTCCTACCGGATTGGCTTGGATGCTCGTCCGAACACGCTAACAAGCCTAGTGTCCCCCTTTCGCAACGTCCGGTGCGTCTAGTCTAGCGTCTGACACCGCGTGCTGGTCGTGCGAGTAGACGGCCGGCAGCCTCCGGCATCGTGTGCGATTCCACCACCGTCTATCGTCGTCTGCAACGCTCATAAGACTCGTCCAGGAAAGCGGCGTACTAGCGTTCTATCATGCACGAGCCACGCTTTAATACGAGCGTCTGTCAGCGGCTGTCAATATCTAGTAAAAAGCGACCGTGAGGACTAAAACAATCAACATAATTAATATGCAGTCCCTTTAGCTTTTCTTCTCTTGTTGTTTTCTTGCATAGCGTCCGCGAGCAAGGTGGGTCAGCGTCGTCATGAAGACGAATTAAAACACGACCTAAGACTATTCGCTTTAGCAAGCCAGGGGCACTTCTCAAAATTTGAGAGTTAAGTGTCTCCCGAAGCAAAATGACGGAAAGATACCTGGACAAATTAGACGCGAGGCAAACGTCCGATCGCGTCCAGCCAAGTGGCTCGCAAATTCTTACCTGCGTAGGTACCTTGTCGGATGTCGAAACCATGGTCGCAATCATGTTGGTTGCACAATTGACAAAGCAGCGGGAAGGCTTTTACGGGAACTATCATCTTTATTCAGCATCAAGACGCGCAAACGAAGAAATCAAATCCTATCGTGCAAAATAGTTGTTGTTGGACGCAAGGCTGAGGCCAGTCCCGCTACGAGAACAAGCGTTCGCACAGCGCTTCCGAATACGCGTAACTGCTATAGTTGTTTGCTGCAAACTACGTCGGTTGATGATGTCTTCCTCGAAACACCTCTGTGAACTCAAAACGACTCGCACTTATAGGATTTGACGAGCTCAAAGAGCATACCTCGTTGGACGCTCTATAACACGCCGGCAGCCCACGTTTGTTATCGTTTCAAACAAAACCGGAAAAAGCAATCTGGGAATACTTTTGAAGACGATAATGTCTCTATCTAGAAATTTGTTTCTCAAACGTAAAAACGTTGTAGATTAAAATAATATTACGGCACCGAGATACAATTCTACAACCAACCTTTCACACGTCAATCATCTTTCCAGCCAATGAGAGATGTAAGCACGGTGTAAGCACGGGGCGGGGCTTAGCGGGCTGCGACCTCTATCTTTAGCACCTAAATTTTGTCTAGCGGCGTATATATGACTAAAAAAAATTATTTTTCGTGTTAATTTGTTTTAACGCGTGTCCTACCTATTACTTTTTTTAAATATATATATTTTTTTTTCTCATATTAGTGTTTCTTTAAGCACGGCAAATACGGCGCTTTACAGTTCAAAAAGATCTATATCCAATCTGCCTTTTTTAGGACTGTTTCTTATTTGTTCATCTCAGAAGCTCCTGCATACGTACGGTCTGCCCTTGGTGAAAAGCAATGCTTAAACAATTTACTGATTTTGTATGTATATATATATATATATATATATATATATATATATATATACAGGGTGTTTTTTCTTATTCTTCCACATTTGTTTAAAAAAAACGTGAAAGCTACACTAATGCGGTTTGTGCAGGTGGGTTATACGGCCAGGCGGGCAGTAGGTGGGTGGCTAATCTTTGCGATAAGTCGGCTAATTAATTAAAATTCGTTAATTAACTTTTTAATTACTGGAAATAGACATATAGTTTCAATTAGAAACTTGTAAAGCATCGTCGAAAACCACTAAATCAACTATTTTTGGAAAGATATAACACCGGAGAAGCATTTTACGGCGTTCTGTCAAAGCGTGCCATTTGGACGCATTTCTAGATTTCGGTTTCTTATCGGAGCGCATCACCGCGCCCGCGGTCCTACTCCCCAGTGGCTGAGACGCGCAACACACGTGCGCCCTACTTCCCTCCATTCTACGAGGGAGGCGAGGAAGTGGTTTCGCGTCGCGACCACCGGGGAGCAGGATCGCGGGAGCGTAGATGCGCTCCGATAAGAAACCGAAATCTAGAAATGCGTCCAAATAGAGCGTTTTGCAGAACGCCGTAAAATGCTGCCCCGGCGTTATATCCTGCTAAAAATAGCCGATTTAGGGGTTTTCGATGATGCTCAGCAATTTTCTAATTGAAACCATATGTTTATTTTAAGTTATTAAAAAGTTAATCAACTAATTTTAATTAATTAGCCGACTTATCGCAAAGATTAGCCACCCACATCATGTCCGCCTGGCCGTATAACCCACCTGCACAAACCGCATTATTGTAGCTTTCACGGTTTTTTTAAACAAATGTGTAAGAATAAAAAAAAAAACCTTTATATATATATATATATATATTCAGTTAATTTTATTATACTTTCAGTAATTGAAATATACATTTAGTTTACTCTTAGTGAGCCTCGCATTTTGGTGGTGCCCTCTAATAAATACCGGCTCGTCTACTTCCCCGCAAAACCCTCAAAGATCCAATCTCTGCTATCTACGAAATCAGTTCAAACTAATCATGAGGCGGAACATCCGTTTAGACCTAAAAATGAAGTCTGCGCTGTGGCATTACGCGATACACAGCGTCATGCTTGCATTGCGTAATGCCACCGCGTAGACTTACTTTTGAGGTCTAAACAGATCTTCTGCCTCATCATTCGATGAGGTGATTTTGTACATCGCAGAGAGTGGCTCTTACAGTGTTTTGCGGGTAAGTAAACGTGCAGGCACTTCTTAGAGTGCGCGGTCCACGCGTCGACCCATTCTGGCAACTAAAGCGCGCATACTAATTGTGCATAATTGATATACGATTCGTAAACTAATATATTAAGTATACTGCGCAAAGTGCTCCATAAATGTACAAAAATTAGTATACTTTTAGTGTTTTACTTTTCACCGTCGATGGCGATACCCTGTCAACATCATTCGGTGCTTTTGTTCGTTCCTCTAGTCGATATGAACGCCGAGATGTACGTCCCCAATGTGCATGCAGTCTTGGCGGCAGGAAGGTGTCCGCCCGATCTCTCCACTGAAAGGGCACGACCATCGGGGAACAACATACGACCCCCCTTCTGATAGCCGCCGACATCTCAAGAAATGCAGGGTTTGGTTTATTATCTTATCGCTTCTTGCTACATGATTGGTTCTTTGACGTTTTTATCTGCTACTTACTCAATCTCATTGACTGCGGAGTATAATGACATGCATAGGGACTAGCCCTGCCTTTGTTAAGCTGTCGTGGTCAAACAAACTGGGGCAAAACCAAAGATCGGCGTTCCGAGCGCATCGAGTATACGCGCATATATGCTTCTGGGAATGTTATCCCTCTGCCTATCCGTGTTTACGGTCTTTGACTTGTTTGTGTCTGATGTCAACGCTTTGACCAAGGTTGTCGTTTGAAAAGTTTATTTACAAAAAACATGGTTTCTGAAGATGGGGTCTACAAGATGAATGGCGGATCGACTGCCTCGCTCTACCACCAGCCGTGACCGCCATAGCCGCCACCTCCGTAGCCGCCTCCTCCGTATCCTCCTCCGCCGTATCCTCCTCCGCCGTATCCTCCTCCGCCGTATCCTCCGTGTCCGCCGTATCCGCCGCCTCCATATCCACCGCCGTAGCCGCCTCCGCCGTAGCCGCCGTGGCCACCATACCCACCGCCGCCATAACCGCCGTAGCCTCCTCCGCCGTAGCCGCCGCCACCGTAGCCTCCTCCGCCGTAGCCACCGCCTCCGTATCCGCCCAGGTAGCCGGCGCTAGCAGCTGCCAAGGCCGCGAAAATGGTGGCCAGAACGAACTAGATGCGACGGGAAAGGCGGAATAAATATTATTCGGAAATTGTACACCGTTCAGAGCAGCCTAGACTTTAGATGTCCCTGATTGTATGCTGCACCGCAATACGCGGGAAGTCCAATTTAGCTTTTGGGAATTCCACGCCAAACCAACGAAGGGCACCTGGCACGCCCCAGCGGAGGACTGGGGATTCATTTTGACTGCCCGGAGATCTTCCAACGTGCAACCGAAAACTCGGTTACACGGCGCGTTCTCCGCAATATGCCTCCGCCATATTGCGTGCACCTCGGCCGGGTTTTGAACCCGCCAGCTGGAGATCCGTAGGCCGGCGCTTTGCCTCGGAGCCGCCAAAGCGTGCAAGGCGTTTTCTTTTTTTTAACTTTTATTTTGGAGTCGTTGAGTAAGAACAGTCGTTCCTGTTCCGTCGATCGGCTCATAAAATGAAAAGCACAATCGGTATCATGTTCGTGAAGTTTTTGATGAAAGAGATGGATACTTTTTTGCCAAAGTTACTGCGTGTCAACTGGTGCATTATAGCGATTTTCCGTCTAATCAGCAGAATACGTTAAAGGAAGAGATAATGATTGATGTTCTGAATGCATTGTCTAACACTGTACATGCTGGGTCTACTCAGAAGTGCTAAGAATTTACTTAAATATCGAAAGAAAAAAAAAACAGATTTAACGGTAAAAGAAAATGCGTTGCTTTTCTAGGTTGATGTTGATGTCAATTTTACAAGTTTCTATCTCGGAAGTAGTTATTCACCATGTCGAGATTTAATTTAACAAATAAGGGGGTTTAAAAGCGTGAGGAATATGCTACCATCATCTGTAGACTTGGTCCATGATATACAAAAATAGCCCGCCACAACTTCTTTTTTTTTTTTTCACTTCGAGGTATGAATTTCGTAATTAAAAGAGCCAGATTTTACGTATTACTTTTGTTAGAAGGAACCGTTTGCACCAACGTTTGCCCACAAACGATTCAGCACTTATGCGTGTTTTCGTTGTAAGTTAAGTGGTGTGGTCTATAGCAGGAAAACGACTACTGGCGATACAGCCAAAGTAAAAATATAGCGTACGTGCGTACACAAAATCCTCTGTACGCGTGCAAGACTGATATGCAGCGAGAAGCAAAGGGATTTATGGCTGTCTGAAGGGGCTATATAAATTCGTTTCTGAAGATTTTGTACAGAAGTGGCAAATAGAATGTTGACTTAGGTTATAAAAATATAACTGAACGAACTTACCTGTGTAAAAAGATAGAAATAAAAAACTCAAAAGGTCTGCCAAAAAAAGAAAACTGTCGAATTTTCGCAAACTTGGCTGTTGCGAAAGTGTGAGTTCGCAGGCGGCCATGGCGGGCGCTTCCTTTGAGCCAGAAGCGATGCGCTGTTTCTTCGCGAATTATCGGTGCGTGATTATCTTTTTCTACAAATAAAACATATAACAATGAAGATAATACGAAAACAAGAAAACAGATGTGTTGCCTCATTTTTTCAACAATAATTTTCGGCCACATTTCGTCATTTGTTTTGCACTCTCTGGTAGTCACCGCGTCTCTTTTCTTGTCTGCAACCTGTATTCGTGCTGTTTTGTTGTGCAAGTCATCTTCATACTGCGCTTAGCTCCCATAGAGCGAGTGAAGTTTGCTTCGGTTCGGGGAGTGCCAGAGGACAAAAGTGGTCTGCCGCAATTTTCGGGCGGAGTATTGATGGCGACCTCCGATCTCCCCTACCATTCTACGCTGGGTGAGGCGTCTGAACGAGGAGGGGAACCTCTGAAACAAGCCAGCGATATCAGTACTGTCCCCAACCTGAAACGGAAAAAGACGGTACTCTGCGCCTTCGCAGGCGACTCCCACCTGTCGATGCGGGCAGCACTACCTCCATCTATCGGCTGTTGCAAAAATCAGACGCTTTTTTTAACAGACGGACGCCGTAGTTAGGAATTTTAAGTTATTGATTGTTCATTTCGTTATCAGGTAAGTTAGTTCAGTGAAATTTTTATAACATTAATGAACGTTCTTTGGCCAAGCCTGTACAAAATATTAGCTCGATACAACCTTTCAACCAGTCATCGAATACATTGCTTCACGCTGTATACCTCATATAAATATCGGAGGAATTGGTGACGGGTTTGTGAACTCACCCCAGCTAGGAGCACGAGGAGCGAAAGCTCACGCTGCAGAACCCAGGGATCCTGAGCGCAATTCTTACTCCCGCCCGTTGTGATATGAGAGAGCCCCGTTCCGGCGAGTGGTTGCGTATTATTACTGCGTGATGCTCGTTAAAAGCCCCATGCTGGCAGTGGTTCTACTCTGGCTAAATTTCTCTTTTACATTGGAGACATTATACGGCCACCGAGGCTCACTAACTTACCGCTCTCTATATATACAGACAACACAATTACTTCACCAAGATATAACTGTGCATCGCGCAAATATCGCAAGCACATTAAAGCGGCAATGGATACTTACAACATTTCAAATATATAATTGACAATCTGTACCTCTTATAATAATCCCTTCTTTTTCCCTCTTCCATATTTGGTAACTTGCTTTATTTTTTGGGGGCTCGATATTTCGCAAATTTGGCAAAGTGTGGGTTCGCGAAATATTTTAAGGGCACTAAATTTCGCAACTGGGAGAGGTAAGAAATGTTTTCGTTATTATTGGGTGATTTGTTCATACTCCTGATCAATATTTTGCAATGTTTTTTTTGTTTTGTTTTGTTTTGTTTTTTTAAGTCTCGTATTTGGCAAGAGTTAGGCCCTCGAGAAAAATTTTGTCGTTTACAGTAAATGAAAAAAATGTATTCAACATTGAGATAAAGAAGTATGAAACATATATTTTTGTACTCTTCAGATAATACAATGAACATTACGTTTTCATTAGTGTCCAAATCATAATTATTCATGGGCATTCCGCAATGACGCGGTAAAATAACTTCATCCGTCGTCAAAAAGCCGCCTACTGTGGTGTATAGGATCTTGTTATCAAAGTGCAATATCATTGGTTGTTTAACTAGATCTAGACATATCAGCTGGGGAATTCAGTAATGCAACACTTATGTGTCAGCTTTAAAACAACTGCACACCTCTGTATTTTTTTTTTAGAAAGAGGTCAGGTCTGATGTCCCTCGATAGCGTGTATCGTCCTGTATAAAAAAAACCCAAGCAACGCTCCTGACAAAGAGTGCTTCACGGGGAGAATACGGAGTCTTCTAGTTCAATCTTCTGCTGTACAAAGCAATTCGCTTACTAGACCCCGCACTGTGTGACGGCAGTTGATTCTGCAAAAGCCTCGCTACTTCTAAGAAGCACGAGGTGGCTCAAGTGCCTCCCGGCTTAATTTAAAGGACTTAGCTAAATTTCTGAACCTATTGATACGAACTTCGTGTTTTATCAAAGTTCTCTAGCCAATCTCCCTCTGCACCTGATTGCACACAGCCCCTATTTGTTAGGGTTCCTTACGTTACTTCTGAAGCGTCGGAATAGCTACGAATTGGACGGATCTGTTTTAGTTGCGGCTACAATACACTCCGTAAGGATGAGGGGCGATAGCGCCTGTCTCCTCGGTCGCTTACCATACTCCTCATGATTCTGGTATCTCAGTGGTCCTGGAACGCTGCTGGCAAAAGGACTGGATGCTGCCTCGTGGTGACTGCGGCTCTTATATACCCTTTCCAACGGTTGCACCGGGGCGTGTGATGTCGCCCTTTCTCGCCGATTCGACGAGCCCTGCGATAAAAGAGGAGCGATCATTAATTGGGGCAGCCCCCCTCCGTTTCCTTCCACAAAGCCCACCAGCACGAGACCCGGGCGAAGCACGCGATCCCGCCACAGCCGAGCCTGTAGAGTGCCCTCGCCACCCGCGATGTCCTTTTTTCCCTTTCGGACTTCCTTCTTGGCAAACCTCGCGTCTTTCTCAATCTTGTTCTGCGCGTGGTGTCGTTTCCTAGAAGGTTACAGGGCATTGCTTCCGCTCTCGGCCAGGCCGGGCAGGAGCGCGCCGAACTGAATCGCCATCTCGACTGTAGTCGCGTTGCGGTCGCGCGGACGCCCCCGTGTCCCTCGTTGATCATCTCGGTCGCTCGTTAAAGGGATACTGAACCGAAATTTGAATTTCGCAAAATAAGACTCTAGAAGCGTTGAACGGGGCTCTACGAACTCCGAAACATTGCTCGTACATCTATATCTCAAACGGATGGCTGCACTTTTCGAAAAGAAGGGCGCGATCAAGCGAGGCCTCTGACATCACTGTCCTCCGGGAGAACTTGAGAATGAGGGGGAGCGGCCTCGCTTCTTTCCTCCTCGCTTCGGTTCACCAGCTCGACACGGGACGTAGTGAGGAGGAGAGGGAATAAGAATCGTGACGTCCCTTGCCTTGTCGGCCTCGTCGGCCGGGTTCAGTCGGGAGCTTCTTTTCTAATAATATGGCGATCCGTTAGAGATATCGCTGTATGAGTGATGTTCTTGGGTTTTGCATCGTCCGGCGTATCTGTCCAGCCTTGTTTTGTGAGTTCGAAATTTCGGTTCAGTATCCCTTTAACGTCGATCGGAGGACGCAGGGGGAGGCTTTGTGGACACTGTAAAGCGGCAGAAGCTTTGGTCACGCGAAAAAGAGGACCAGATAAAACACGTACTAAAACAAATCCATCAAAAAACAACCGCATCTTTACGTCGTGAATGATGTTGATTGGGGCGAAGCTCTGGTGGTGCTTGTCTGCGTAGACGCTGAGCCGCAGCATGCCGAACCTTTTATTGTTTTCATCCATGTCACGCTGCGGTCAAATGCTCACATGCGTCGTTCCATACCACACATTCTCTTTCTGACATGGATGAAATCGAAGGAAAGGCTCGGCATGGTGCGGCTCACCGTCTACGCAGACAAGCACCACCAGAGCATCGCCCCAATCAACATCATTCACCACGTGGAGATGCGGTTGTTTTTTGCCCTACACGAGCACGGGAGCACGTGCTCGTGAGCACGTGAGCGCGTGAGCTCACGAGCAGGAGCACGTGCACCCGACGGCGAACAGACATACGGACATGGATAGTCCCTAAGCAGCTTCGCCCCTAAAAAAACATATATATATATATATATATATATATATATATATATACATACATTATTAATGAACTCTTTAATTGTTGAAAATAGCAGGGTGTCGAACCGAAACCGAAACGAAAACCGGAACCGAACCGGTATTTTTTTCCGGAACTGAACCCGAACCCGAACCGTTATATTGTTATCGCGATGAACCCGACCCGAAACTGAACCGGAAAAAAAATAACGGTTACCGGCTCATGTCAAAACGGTTCGGCCACGCGCTGTTGACAATGAATGTGCTATCAATGCCATTTGTTTTTTAAGTGCCGTCAACTGACACACACCTCGCTTACATATTTTTCTTTGTAAAAAAAAAATTAAAAAGCTGTGCAAAAAAAAAAAATTGCGTCATGGGATTTTATTTTCCTACGATCTCGTAAATCCTAAATGCTGCTGTGTGCTCATTTCATAACACGTTTTTAGAACGCGCGAGTTCTTGAAGCTTGCTTCCATCGGAATGAGAAAAGAAAAGGCTGTGGAGTTTGATAATAATGCATCCGGTTTCGAATAGGCACTTAGAAGCTAACATATTTGTGAGACAGCGAACTCTTCTATTTTAATATTTATCCTATTACGTCCTTCTGGCGTTGCGTTCGGTGAAGTGTTTTTCATATTCCGTATCTTGTTTAATGAATACTTCTTTAAGGGTCTAATTTGAGTTACCAAAGGCTAGTTCAAATAAAGAAAGCTGTATTTTGTCCCCACTGTTCCTTCAATCGCTTACACGCCGAGGTAGCGGGATAGTTAGCGAGTTCTACTTGTAAGTGGGTTTGTAAGGAGGTCGCGGATTTTACAGCTACTGCGTCGGACCCAATTAGATGAAGTCCGAATGCGTAAACGTCGGTGAGGTAACCTTTGAGTGCACATAAAGAAACCATTCCTGGTAGAAGTCCCTGAGCCTTACACTACGATGTATCCCGTTTCGTAAGTGCTGATTTCAGATGTTTTGTTTGTAATTTATTTTGATGTTGCAATTTGTCATTTATAATTTCCGAACCGGTTCGCGAACCGGTTCAGCGCCCCGAACCGGTTCGCGAACCGGTTCGCGGATCGAATTAATCGATCCGGAACTGAACCGGAACAAAATAAATTTACCTGAACCTGAACCGTAACCGAACCCGTATTTTTTTCGGTTCGACACACTAGAAAATAGACATATGGTTTCAATTAGAAACTTGCTGAACGACATCCACAAGCACTAAATCAATCATTTTCGGGAATACTTTGAGCGCGTGGGAAGCGTAGTAGTGCGCTAAAGGTACCACTCGCCCAACAGGTACCAGGCTGGGGCTCTGATAAGAGAAGGAAAAATCGCGCGGGCTCCTTACCGCACCGGTAGCGTCGCTCCTGCTGCTCGAGGGGTTACTTTATCGCACCACTTCACTCCTAAAGTGCTCAAAGTCTCTCTGCTGATGGTTTTCGATAACGCTCAGCAAAATTACAATTACAACCACTTGTCTATTTGCAATAATTAAAAAGTTAATTAACCAATCTTACTTAATTAGCCGACTGATTGTTAGGGTTAGCTCTCTCTGCTATGTATAACTGGCCGCATAACTAACTCACCTGCACAGACTGCATAACCACAGCTTTCATAACTTTTTTTTTTAATTAGTGCCTTGAATGAAAAAAAATTCCTGAAGTTAATGTATTCCAGGTAAAAAGATAATTTTCTCGGGACCGAATTACTCGTGGTGGCGGACGTCCGAAAATGCTTTACACTCACTACTTAATTCCCTAATTAATTGAAAATGACTAATTAACTTTTAATTTGTGAACATAGACATACGGTTCCAATAGACCGATCTCAGCAAGCGTTCGGCGCATGCGTGACGCCGCCATAACATCGATTCATAGGAAGCAGACGGCAGTGCACAAAAGGCCTCGTGCCGCTTGTGATCGACGCGCGCAGAGCTCCAGCGAGATTGTCGCACGAGCAGAAAAACTAAAGTTCCCTCGATGCATTGCGGCAGCTGTAGCGTGGTCAGACTGCCTGGTGAGATCGGTCTATTAGAAACGTGCCGAGTTTCGTCGAGAACTACTAAATCTGCAATTTTTAAGAAAGACTTTAAGCGCGTGAGAGGCGTAGTAGTGCGCTAAATTTACCACTCGTCGAGCAGGTACAAGGCTAGTGGTTACGGTGAGAGCCGAAGCCTTGCTCCACTAGTGGTAACTTTAGCGCACTACGACGCTTCCCACGCGGTCAGTCTTTCTAAGAATTACTGATTTAGTGGTTTTCGATAACGCTCAGTAAGTTTTAATGGGAACCATATGTCTATTATCAGTAATTAAAAAGTTAATTAGTCGTTTTAATTCCTTAGCGAACTAATTAGTAAGTATCGCGCATCTTCTGACGTCCTCCCCCATGGTTTCATACGGTCCCCAGAAAATTATCCTTTTACCTCAAATACACTAACTTTAGGAATTGTTGCAACTCTTACGTGAAACACCCTATATTTATATAATATATAAATACAGGGTGTTTTTTTTTTTTATTATCACAGATTGGTTTAAAAACTAAACTTGAAAGCTACACATGCGGTTTGTGCGAGTGAGTTATACGGCCAGGAGGGCATTATGTAGGCGGCTAATCTTTGCGATAAGTCGGCAAATTAATAATAACTCGTTAATTAGCTTTTAAATTAATGAAAATTGACATGTGCATGGTTCAAATTAGAAACTTGCTGAGCGTCATCGAAAACCACTAAATCAGCAATTTTTAGAAAGACTGAGTGCGCGAGAAGCGTACGAGTGCACTAAAGTTACCGCTCGTGGAGCAGGTACAATAGTGGTTGCGGTAAGGCGCCCGCGCGATTTTTCCCTCTCTTATCTAGCTAGCCCCAGGCTTGTATCTGCTCCCACGAGGGGTAGCTTTAGTACACTACTACGCTTCTCACGCGCTCAAAGTCTTCGTGAAAATTACTGATTTAGTGGTTTTCGACGAGGCTGAGCCAGTTTCTAATTGGAACCATATGTCTATTTTCATTATTTAAAAAGTTAATTAACGAATTTTAGTAAATTATCCAATTGATCGTTACGATTAGCCCCCTATACTATATCCCCTTCGCCGTATAACTCCCTCGCACAAACCGCATAAGTATAGCTTTCATGGCTTTGTTTAAACAAAATCTGTAACGAACAGAAAAAAAAACACCCTATATATATACAGGGTGTTTCAGAGAACGCAGGCCAAATCGCTCCTGTGAAAACTAAGCATCGCACAGAAAAAAGGTTGGTGCCGTTTTGGTGTCTGCCAAAGAGCCCATTCAGAAAAAATAACAACGTTTAGAATCAATAGTTTTTTAAGCTTTTTAGAAAGTAACTTTTCATTTGTTCCTTTAAACGCCATAGTTTCAATTAGAAACTTGCGGGGCATCATCAATAACCCCTATATCGACTCTTTGTAGACAAGTATAAAGCATGTCGAGCATTTTACAATGTTTCAAAAAATCCTTCAATTCTGACGCGTACTTTGGTTTCGGATTCTTATCCAAGCGCATCTTGGCGCCAGCTGTCCTGCCCTCCGACGGCTGAAGCGCAGAACCAAGGCCAGACAATTCGCTACACTTCGTTTCAGCTTCGGTCCGAGCTCGGCCGATGTTATGAGCCGAAGGGCCAATCAAACAGC